AGGTCACAATTGTAAAACTGAACACAGAGGCAGAGGTCACAAGTGAGTGGAGGTGTAGACTTGGAAGCAGTTAGAGACCTGTCCTTGTGCTACCTCATCCCCTCTAAAGGGTTCAGTGCATCCAGGGAGAAGAGAAGAGCACTGAGGAACATTGGTGATGAAATAGTGATCTGAGAGACAGGAGAACCAGGCAATTACAATGCTTTGGAATTCCTTAGAAAGGGAAGAGCGAGGACAATATTGATGATGATCATCATCATACTACTTGATCTGTGGAATAGTATTTCCCTCACCACCATGCTTCTGTGCAGAAAGATCATGCTTCTGCACAGAAATCCTGTACCCAGAGCACCTGTACAGAAAACCTTTAGCCACAGCACCTTTCCTGAATTTAAATAACTAGGATTCTTCCATCCTAGTCAGCTTCACTCACGCACTGAAATCTTTCATCAGTGACATCTGCTCAACTTCACATTTAAAAGGGAAAAACAAAAACGAAAGAGTGGGCCAGGGAAGAGAACAGTGGATAACAAGCCCACCCTTTTTAGAAATCAGTCACTACTTGCTAAGATCAGTCCTATATAACTCATAAAATTACTACCACATGCAAGTGCTAGCTGACAATATTTAGAAGCAGACTATTTGTTTTCTTGTAATTTATTGTATGATTACGCTATAAATCAATTTGGATATGCATGCTGATACAGGGCTTACAAGCCCAATTAACACATAGGTAGTCTTATTGAAAGACAGAAACCTACCGTTTCAAAGCTGCCTTTGTGCATCAGATCGATGGGAGGCCTGAAGAGGTCTGCAAGGGTAGTGAGTTTCTTATCTATTGCACCTCCATTCCGCAGCTCCTGCTCCTGTCGAACTATACAGCCCCGGGAGGAACAGGAGTTGAATTAGATAAAATACTCACAACAGTGCATTACGCTGCCTTCATCCCTATTCCCTACATGCAAATTCACCTGATTGAAATCATTTTACAAGGTTACAAAGTGCACAGGCCACGATTTATTTTGAAGACAGGATCCTAAAGTCGAGGTTCTAAATCCATAACAAGGCAACTAAGTGCTCTGATTTTCTGAAGTGCTGAACGCTGAACTCTCATTTATTTAAATATATTTTGATTTGTAAAACATACAGATTAGTAGGATCTGATTGTGAAAAATCAGGCAACTTATTCTGGTGCCCAAATATGGATTTAGTAGTCTAAATTTAGGCTCCTGTTTTTCAAATATAGACCTACATCCAAAAATATTTCTAGTTTGATCTTTCACCTGTTCCCTCACCTTCACAAACATCAAAGGACCCCTTTGACAGAATCAGATATTTCTTCACATAAATAGAATATTCTTTGAAACTCACATTTAACATTAAATCCTTTTACTGATCCACTTAGTTACTGCAACCTCTTATAGGTCAGAGGTTCTCAAACTCTTTCTATAGTCTATACCACACCTTGAAAAACAGTGTCCTGTGGATACCACCTCTCCCATTCATGATTATGAGGCCACCTTGCATGCCCATCTGTGATCATATGAAATCTTTGGGGGAATTACAGCAATTGCTTACCTAAAAAAGCAAATGCACAGAGTATTTTATGCAGTTTAGCAGTTGGAAATGGGGAGCCAGGGCCATGTGGTCAGCCAACTCTCCACTGGACACAAGCAAGTATGCAGTGGACCAGAGTATAGAAGCCTCCTGTACCTGTAAATATCACTATTTTGCAGCCCCTGGAAAAATGTCTGCAAACATTAAAGGCCAGATTAGTGTCAGACTTTAACTATTAAGTTTCCAGCTTTCATTTAGGTGAAAAAGCTTTTGGTGTATTTGTGTATTTTTATTGAATTTTATTAAGTAAGATAAGAGATGAATGTGTAACTGGATCATATACCCTTCTTCAAGAGCTACAGTTGACATGGTGGAATGCTTCCAGATTCTCAGACATTTAGTATAGTGATATGAAAGAATTAAACACTGCCTGCAATATTAATCACTTTTAGTAACACACACCATAGTAACAGACAAAAGGTCACGTGTTCCACCTATCTGACCCATGATCACGGAGCTGTAGACTCCACTTTTTATGCACCAACATGGGCCATTCCACTTTGGATTACTGTAAGGATGTGTCAAAAACATTTTGGAACGTCTTTCTTTGTGGAAACAGAGTAATTAAACCCTACATTCTACTGTATTGTTTAAATCTACCACTTCCCAGAACATTACTAAACTTGAACATAGACTCCTCAGTCAGTATGTCTTCTGTTCAAATAATTTAAAGCACACTGTCTGAAACCATGCGTCGGAGTAAAAAAATGTGGTTGTGCAGTAGGTATAGGTTATTCACAGAGAAGCCAATGACACTACCTTTAAATAGGTTGATTATTACTGAAGAGTCTGACTCAGACTCTTTGAGCGATGCCAGTAGAAGATAGTCAACTTTTTGTTCAGTGTTTGTACAGTGCCTTGCACAAAGGGGTACTGGTCCATGACTAGGGCTCTTAGGCACTACGGTAATACAAATGATTAATAACAATAAAAGTTATTAAGGCTGCAGTTGTCACAGCTGCCAAAGGAGTCATTTTTTTAAATTTTATGATTTAGAAGAGTTTCTCTATTATTTTTGTCATTTGGAGATTTTGCACATGGGTGGGCGGATGCAATGGTAAATGGCTAAACAAATTCACTGAGAACTTTCTGTACTGCCAAGCAAAACCCAAGACTAATCTGAAGACTAATAAGAGCACGCACATAGCAATAGTGGCCACACAAAAGACCAGATTAGTGAATCAGAGCTTTAATTCCCCTAGGATTCTTGAGTTCTCTCCCCACCTTTCCATCCCCCACCAACAAGGGGGAAAAATGCTTTTGAAGAATTAAAATTGGGTTATCAAAGTCCGTTCTGGTATGGCAAGTACTTTACTCATCTGTCCAGTACTGACACAGAGCACTCACAGGTTTTTTTGTTTTATTTTGTTTTAGAAGATTGGAAGTATGCATCAGGGTCACAACGAGATCCAACAGTATCTGCCAAGATTCATATTTCCATGACTTGGCATTTTCAACATAATCACCCCACAACTATTTAAAATTGCAATGATTATAAAAGCAGTCCTCACTGTGACACTAATATCTGTGGGGAGACAGCTGTAGTTAATAAATAGACATATCTTTAATTATAAAAGTAGTAATGGCACCACTACAATTAAAAATTAATAAAGTAGTTTTAGAATAGGAATTTCCTATGCAGTAGGCAATATTCTAATCTCATTTAAAATTAAAAATTGTTTGATGACTGCAGCCAATGATCATGGCCAATAGCAGATAACTCTGTTCATTCCACACCACAAAGTTACACAACAAACTAGAAACCCTACCATAATGAACCACAGATACTTACTGGTTTCTGTTTGAAAATCCCGAAAACCATCAAATATTGAACGGGCAGGTCTGCGTCGTTTAGGAGCTTTAAAAAAATAAAAATAAAAAGATATCTCAGATGTAATTTAAAAGCTAGATTGTCAAAGAATTACTTTTGAATGATGGCATACCACAAATTTGTGATGGAAAAAGATTGAAGACCCAAAGCATACATATGAGGAGGAGTAAGGTCACTGGGAAAGGGTTGGGGGAAACCAAAACAACAGATCTAAGTATCACCACATTTTACTTTAGGATATGCTCCCAAGAGTAAGTCTTTCCTCAAAGCAAATCCAGGTTGCTGATGAAAGTAGGTAAAATGCTGGGCCTCCCATTTCGGATATGCTTGTACATACCCATCCTGATTGCTTTTCTGCCATGCTGCCCAATATTGTATTTAAATTAAATAATTCTTACCACTCTGAACCCAAAACATAAAACAGGGACCCACGTTAGAAAATAACTATATGTCCTGGAGGAGTAATAATGAAAAATCCTCTAGGAAGGCAGCTACTCCCAGAGTTCTCCAATTTAGTTCTGTCAGGCCTCTCACTCCCATCATCTTCTTGGTTGTTGGGTTGGGTGGGCAATACCTGGACTCAAAAGGAGGAATCTTGCTATTACCCTATCCCCAAGTAAACCCCCCTCAAGGAGCTCTATGCAGTTGCCTCTGGGCACAAACGAGGGGGGAGAGATACTGTTCCAATTCTATGTCTGGGCAATTAACTCACACAGACCTCTGTGATACCAGGATAAAGGGCTGGGCTGAAGTCACCTGGCATTACTATCTATAGCTGCTGCTCCAAAGTACTCTGATGGGGCCATAAGACAAGACACCATAGAGCGATTTATTACAAATTTTTGTCTGCCTAGGAATGGTCATTTTTAACAATTAAGACAGTATTTTCCACGTAATTCAGTTACAGGAGATGTTCAAACACAAAGTAAATGGAAAGAGGCCATCATACAAATTAAACATAAAGCCTGTTTTAAAAAAAATCCATTTGCAGGGAGACTGGTTGAACTAATGGGCACTGCCTACTCCTGAGGGAATTCTGCACCAAAAAATTAAAATTCTGCAAAATTCTGCATATTTTATTTGTCAATAAATAAACATGAAGGTTACAGCATGGCAGTGGGGAGCACAGGTCACTGGCTGCATGAAGGTGCGAGATCACCCTGAAGGCCCCCCCACACCCCAGGACAAGAACTCGGCGGTGAGGCTGCATCTGACCCTGACACAGCATGAGGGCCAGGCCTGCCCCAGAAACACCCTGGGGCCCTACCCTTCCACGCCAGTGCACCGAGACAGTAAGCGAGAGGGACAGAGTCTCACACACCCAGCCCTAGCCCCGAGTCTAGGGGTGGGACAAGCAGGCTCAGTCCAGCAGGATCCAAGAATGGAGGTGCTTAGTGTGGGGGGATCCAGATGTTGGGTGAGAGGGTTCTGTGTGGGGCAATCTGGGTGCAGGTGTCTTGTGGGGGGGAGGTGAATGCTCAGGGGCTCATTGGGGGGTTTCAGATGCGGGGGAATGGGACTCTGCAAGGGGTTCAGGTGCAGATGACTGGGGCACAAGGGGGTCTGGATGTGGGGGGAAATGGGGCTTGGCGGGGGGGCTAGGTGCTGGGGGGCTTGATGAGGTGGAGGTCCAGGTGCAGCTGGCTGGGGCTCAGTGGAGTGGAGGTCTAGGTGCAGGGGCTTCCCTGGGTGATCCAGGTGCAAAGGAGGTGGGGCTCAAGTGCAGGGGGCCTCAGTAGAGGTTAGTCGGAGTGCAGGGGTGGGGGTCCGGATGCAGGGGGGAGGCTCTTGGTGAGGGTCCAGGTGCAGGGGGCTCTGGATAAGGCATGGTTGGGTGGGGATTCAGGTGTGGAGGGTGGTCTGGTGCAGGGGTGGAGAACTGGGTGCAGGGGTGGGGAACTGGATGCAGGGGGGAAGGGCTTGGTGGAGATCTGGATGCACAGGGTTGGGCAAAGTGGGGAGGAGCAGTTCCCCATACAGTGACCCCCTCACCCTGTGGCTGAGGAGCAATGGGGGCAGGAAGCAGAGTGGGCCTGGGGGAGTGCAGAGCTCCCTAGAGCCTGGGAGGTTTCTAGGGGTGGGTCTGATCTGGACCAGGCCACTCCATGCAGGGAAAGGAAGTCCCATCGTCCTTCTCCCTCCCCCACCCCCCCCGCCCACCCAGGACGAGCAGCTAAGACCGGCGCAGGGTAGGAGCCACTGGCTGTGGAGTCTCCTCTACAGTGATTTACCTCTCTGCCGGCTGCTCCGGGCGCCCGAAACGATGTGCCCGCACTGCTGGGGAGGGGCGCATGACAGCTCTTGTGGCTTCCCTTTGCTTCCCCGTCATTTTCTGCGGGGAAGCAAAGAAATCTGCGGGGGACATGAATTCTGCACACACGCAGTAGCGCACAATTCCCCCAGGAGTAATTTTCATCTCTAATAACTATGAAAAAAGGTATTATATTTTTGACTCCAAGTGATCTGCTTTGTACATTATAATCAAAAATTTTCAGACTTGGATGCTTCAATATGAACTTCAGAGTTAAGTACTGAGCACCCATAAATCTCACACAAATCAATAGGTGCTACAAGTGCTCAGCATTTGTGAAAATCAACCGCCTGTAGTTAGGTATTTATGTATGGCTTTAGGAACCTGAGATTAGGCATGCAAGTCTGAAAACACTGTCCTATATTTTTGTGTTTCTTTGGAATGTAATTTAATAGTTGGCTATGGATTGGTGTTATCTTCGGTTTCAGACAATTATTTAAGTATCTCATTCTCAAGAGAGTTCCATGCAAAAAACAACCAGACAACATTCAAATCCAAATATCCGTATACCTAGACTGAGTTGTCCAGGGCAAAGACTGTCCTTCCTTACATGTCTGTACAGTGCCTAGCGCAATGGGAGTCTGAACCTTTATTGGGGTTCCCAGGGATTATCATAAATAGCCACCTCTTCTTAGAAGATCAATATTTTAACTAGCAGGAAAGTGATCTTCTCATTAGCCCTTCACTTTAAAAAGGGGGATGGGGGAGGAAGGAAACATTTCAAAAGCAAAAGATAATAAAGCAATCTTATACTTAAAGCAAACCAAAAATAAAAACTACAAGGTGCATTTCAAAACTTTCATTTTCTCCTTTGGAGAATAAACTGGAGTAAAATACAAATAGCAGTAACAAATGGGAAAAGCTACTATTACCATCTAAAACAAATTCACATGGTATCCTTACTTTGCACTGTGCCAAGTGTCCAATTACTAGGGCCTTGGTGCATTACACAGCAGTGCCCACTGCATATTGCCTGTAGAACACCCAGGAACCATCCCCGTTCTCAGAAACCTCCTACTTTCTAAGCCTCCCCAATAATATTTCTTCAGCAGGTAGGTAGGTTCAGATCATTCAAGAAATTCAACACAAAGCAGAACTAAAATAATCAAATATTTTTCTTTAACATTAATAGTTTGTCTTTACCCTTCATATACTTCTGACTTCATTTCTAATCCTCCTATCTCCTTTGTAGCTCTAGCCCTCTTGAATCTTCACCAATCACTCTGTCCTTCAATACTACCACTTTGAGCATCTCTAATGTGGGAGAAGTATCTTTCAGTTCTGTTTCTGGACCACTGTACTCAGCCAATAAATAGGAGTATTTTAGCATAACTTATGAGGCAGCACCCACTTTAAATGGCACATGAAGCAAACTGCACTCCCAGTGATGCATGATTTATTACCTATGTCTCCTTTGAGAAACCATACTTCCAACTGCACAGAGGTATTTCAAAGTGTGCAATCACATCCTACGGCTATAGATTTATTGTAGAGAGCAGCAGCAAGAAGCAGTGACGGGATTCAATTTCTCAGGCTTGGTTTAAACTCCAGACTTATGTTGGTATAACTACACCGCTCAGGGGTATGGAAAATCCACATCCTCTGAGCAATGCATTTATACTGACCGAACTCCTGGTATAGACAGCGCTGCGCTGATTGGGGGTGGGGGGAGAGCTTCTCACATCAACATAGCCACTGTCTCGCAAGCAGGTGGAGTACCTAGAGTGGTGCAGCTGCACCACTGTAGGTAAGTGTAGACAACCCCTCAGTCAGTTATGATTTTTCTTTCGTCACTCACCCAGGCCAGAAGCAACATAAACAAAAACACAAACAAATCTTACCTCCAAACAAGGGCTCCGGCTCTACCAAAATTTCCTGCTTTTGTGGAATTGGTGCTCGTACTTCATCCCTACCAGGGTAGAAAAAAAATAACTTGTTATTTACTGAGGGATGTGCTGGGTACTGTATAAACAAAGAACACCAGTTCCTGCCCAAGAATCTTGCAGCTTAAATGATACAGACAAAAGTACAGATGCATGATACCTAGGTGAAGTAAGGATGTTGTACACATTTTTAATTATTTTATCATTTCAGGTGACTCAAAGGCTCCACAGAGGACGTGAATGTTTAAAAAGCCAAAATTGAGAGAGGTTCTTTGACACATAAGAGGTTCCATGCATGCATAAAGGGTGGCATAAAAGGTGTCACAGACTAGAGCCTACAACCCTACATAACGCAGAGAGAAATGTTTTATTTGTTCTACCAATCTCTTCACAGTCTTCTAGGCACTGTGTTTGAAGTTTAGGAGATGGACTGGCTGGCTCCTGAATGGAGCCAAGGTATCAAATTTATTCCAATAAAAGCACTTACAGGTTTTAACTTATAGTGGTATAAAAGTCACTGATTCACAAAGGATCTGCATAGAAACAGTATATAATATGCACATATAATCTGCATATTATATACTGACAAATATAGACTTTTAGCTTCAGTACCCGTCAAAGGCAAATGGCAGAAAGGTACAGAATTTAGCATCAGCTAGGACTGTTGGCACCACTCCAGCTGTTTTAACCTCAAGTACACCCTTTTCTGGCACTTTCTGTCTAAATTCAGGTTAATTATAAAGTTGAAAGTTTAATAAGATTGTTTCCAGAGTCAAAGTTATCTATTTATCCACAGAACAGGTAGAGCAAAGGAAGCAGCACTGCAAACTTCCCTACAATGCCCAAATGCATCTCACTCATGCCTTTCAGTGAGGAACTCTACATATGAGCATGTAATATGCTCTTCATAATTACTCACACCCTGGCCTTTCATGCACAACACAGGCGCCAATTAATGCCAAATGTTGCTGTGGATTTTATGGTAGGACACAAGCCCCCTAGGAACCGGACAGAGACCACTAACTCATTTCTTGAAGACCAAAAACCTAATTACCTTTTAGCCACAACTAATCCAGTTTAGACCAAGTTCAAAGCAGTGACGTGGAGGTGAAAGTAACTGTCATTACCACCACGTACACATCTACCATGCAAGACCCAGCTTCTGTGTCCCCTGAAAGCAGCATTTAGCTAGCATGACTTGTAACCAATATCCCTGTTAGGTATGCAAATGTTATCCAAAACTTACAGATGAGGAAATTGAGTCATAGTACAATTTTCAGGCCAGGGGACCATCTCTTTGCAATATGTTTGTATAACACCAACAAGGTGCTGGCCTCTAGGCACTATTTTAACACCAGCAGTGAGAACTGGTAATATTCCCAAGTCAAAACAAGAAACAAACCCCAGGTCTCTTAAAACTCAGTCCTGTGTTTTAGCCACAAGACCATTACTACCAGATAAAAGTTTTACTAGAATGGCCCTACCAGAGGAGTGGAAAAGTAGACAAGATAATTAAAGGACTACATAGTAACAGTGAGTGACAGCAGGTTATGAGAGAAATGAACAATGCAACAGCAAAATGCCTTGATGCCAAAACTTTCCCACCTTTCCATCCTACCACTATTCAACACATTCATATGGATACATTCACACGGGCACATACTCGGTATCTGGTCGGACAGTTGACACTGCTGCTGAACTGGTACTGGGCTCCTCTGCTATGCCTCCACCATCCAGAAACATAGTGACAGCCATCTCTAGATTATTGTTGCATGCTTCAAGCATATGTTTCCCCACACTTTCACTGGCACCTATAATACCAAGACAAAAAGATCAAAGAGGTGCTGGGAATAGCTGACAGGCAAGATTGCTCTTTCAAAGAATTAGTAATTAGTAAAATGCACAACTTATATGCCTGTCACTTGCTTTGCATTTATAGTTTAGAAACCATTAGAAGAAACACTAATGTACACATCTTGCCTGGGAGGGGGAAAAAGGAGATGGAAATGTGGCTCTCCTTCAATCCTATCTCCTTCCTTAAAAAAGAAAAAAGTTTAGCAGTAGCCATTTAATCTTTTTTGTTTTATTAATAGGTCTCAGACCTTTGCCCAACACAAAATTCAAAACATGAAGAAGGTGCAATGATCCAGAAAGATGTTGGGTTATACACAAAATTAACTATCAACTTATCATCACCCTATGAAAAACTCAATATTAAATCAGCAATAAGTATAATGCAGGTGGACTCGATTTAATCATGAATTTCTACATAAAAGTGCATTCTTTGGTTGTTATAACCTTACTACATATTCTTCACAACTCAGAGATAGATGTGTACCTTCTAAAAATGAAACCTACACTATACATTTTTAAAGTGATTTATTTTGAAAACTTTTCAGATTAGTTTTACAGTTGTATCAGAAAATGAATGATTGTTTATAAATAAATTATAAATTAATGGAGATGTCCTATCTCTTAGAACTCGAAGGGACCTTGAAAGGTCATCGAGTCCAGCCCCTGCCTTCACTAGCAGGACCAAGTACTGATTTTCCCCAGATCCCTAAGTTGCCCCCTCAAGGATTGGACTCACAACCCTGGGTTTAAGCAGGCCAATGCTCAAACCACTGAGCTATCCCTCCCCGCTTTGGTTATTTCATTTACCAAAGGTAATTGAAGCAGATATTTATGAAGTCATTGGGAGATGAATTATCTCCAATTCAACAGGTTAATCATTAATATTTGGAGGATTTTCTTGCCATGCTGTTTTAGGAGGAGAACATCACCAGACAGACATCTAAATTATTTTATTTAACAATGTTATGTATTCTGGATTTTTTCTTCAACAGCAAATATAATATTTTTAACAAAACAATCATATGAATTTTTGAATGTAGTTAAACATTCAAGTTTTTTAAAATCAGGTTTGTTTTTGTTAAAATTGTTTTTAACTAAAATAGTTAAATGAAATATATTTTTAAAAAAAATTGACTGTCAGCCAGCTCAACATGAGAAACTTAAAATATTGGATTCTGCAGCTAACTCAGTCGTCTTCATCTTAATTTTCCTGTTTGTTCATAATCTGGAAAAGAAAAACGAGTTTTCCTGCTTTTTCAGGTCCCAAACGATTTCTCAATTTGGAATGAATTAGTCCAAAGGAAGAAAATATTATTTCTACACCGGCAGAAGAAGCTACTGCTCTTAAAAGTTAGATTATCACTTCAGTCTCTGAATCCAAGTGCTTAAGTGACTTCCACCAGTTCACATCATCAAACATATATTTCTTGAATGGCTCACCCTTAGCACTGAAGTTTATTATAGTTGGCATTACAGAGGGATGATTGCTGGATGTCCATGTCATAGCCAACTCCTCTTCTTCAACAGTTAAGGCTTGACCCTGGTACCAAGTGTTGTGAATAGTGCTTGACCCATTAGTTTTTTTTAAGGCTTGTGATTTAATTCTGTCATTGCATATTTCTCTTTTTAAGATCTCACTCAGTTCCTTCCCAATTTCAACAGCGTCAGCAATAGAACAGCTATTTCCCTGCATTTTGTTCAAGGTTACAGAAATAGGCTTCAGGGTACTCAGCATGTGTTCAACATTTCTCTTAAGCCCAATGTTGAGAACTTTGGCTGCGACAGTGCCATCTATTTTTTCATGATTTTGTTCACAAACTGTCATCAGATTAGGCCAGTTCTTGATAGAGTGCTCAAAACAATCCACTACGGAGTTCCATCCCACGTCTTGTGGGAGAGTTAACTTGGTTCCTCCCACTTTTTTCAGAGCAGCTGCTGCAAAGTGGCTGTTACGGAAGTATTTTGCAATTTCAACATTAGCCTTTATTTCTGGAACACTGAAGTCTTTGGCTAGGAGGTGCATCAAATGAGCACTGCAACCTTATGTTATTAGCTTGGGACTCTCTTCACTCTCTTCTAAATAATTTCTTCTCACCTTGGATACATTTGCAGCATTGTCTGTGATGAAGCTGCGTACTAGACCTTTGAATTTTTTTTCTACAGTTTCTTATAGCTTTTACAGCTACTTCTTGTAAATATTCTTCTGTGTGTGCATTTCCTGATGTATCAATTGTTGTCTTCTGTTGTCACACAAGCACATACAACAGGATCATCATGGACATTGCTCCACCCATCAAGACCCAAGTTAACAATTTCACCCTCTAGACCTTTTGCACACTGCTAAATTTCTCTTTCGTAAACTTTATCCAGCAATTTGCCTGTGACATCTGCTCTGTTGCGTGGACTCTATCCTGGTCTTAATGACTGAACCATGTTAAAGAAGTGTGGGTTCTCAATCATACGGAAAGGAGAATTTGTTGCATAAATAAACCTGGCAATTTTTTCATCAATTACCTCTTTTTGTGTTTTGTGTTTTAAATGTATAAAGGAGGTGCACTCA